GCCGGGGGAAAGGTTAAGTTGCCAGAATTGCTTCCACCACCACATCCATTGTTCCAGCTGCTTTACGGTGAATCTCCTCACTTGAGCCATTTCTTAAAGCACACTAAAATGTACAACGATTGTTTCCAAATGACGTCGTTTGGCGGTGAAATTGTAAATGAACAAAACTACAATCCAACGTTTAAGGTATTTTTGCCAAACAATATTCGACAGAAACTACAGAGCTTTCCTCCAATTATACAGGTTCATGGGCAAATTTTTCATCTCGCTGGATCGCTTTTGCCATCCAGATCAAGAACACAAATATCTCCAAATTTACTTTCTAGGAGATTCACATGATGAAGTAAATCGGCGTTGTGTGTTCTTCAATACAACGAAAAGAGAAATAATCGAACAATTGCAGCAAATGTTACACGAACACAATGGCCTCATTAAACTGTTTACGATTTCGTTGCAAAAAACGCTATCCCCGTGCTTTTATTTCGGAAACGACGGATACCCTCTCTATCGGCGTCGCTCACCCGCTGACAATGGCAGAACATTCATCACTCAATTGAAAGGAAAGAATTTCGTGGTTGATAACACATGGATCGTTCCATATKCGCCAATTTTGTCTAAGGCATTCAAAACACATATAAATGTTGAGTATTGCAGTTCAATAAAATCAATTAAGTATGTTTGCAAATATGTCACCAAAGGAAGTGATATGGCGGTTATTGGCGTTGAACGAGATGAAATTAGCAAATTTCAAATGGGCAGATATGTGAACTGCAATGAAGCAATCTGGAGAATATTTTCATTTGCAATTCATGAAGGGCATCCTACTGTTGTGCATCTGACAGCTCATTTGGAGAATGGCCAGCGAGTTTATTTAAACGCAGAGAACATAGTACAGCGAACGTAAAAACCACCAGCAACCACTTTAACAAGTTTCTTTGCAACTTGCGCCAGTGATCCGTTCGCGAGAACATTGCTTTACTCCGAGATGCCTCGGTATTATACATGGAATGCATCGTCGAAGAAATGGTTGCGCAGGAAGAACGGCCATCCGGTAGATGGTTATCCAGATGTTTTTTCAACTGATGCATTGGGAAGAATTTACACAACTTCATTTGAATCATTGAGGACTGTAGATGGTACCATTTGTGCAACAATTCGAGAAGCTTGTCAACAATTGCAATTGCTTGAACACGACAGTCACTGGAATCAAACGCTAGAGAATGCAATAGCTTCTTCACCAGCAACTGCAGTTCGTACACTTTTCGCTATTATAATTTCGGCATGTCAGCCTTCAAACTCGCGTCTATTATGGGATACGTACAAAGATGACATGGCAGAAGATATTTTGCATCGCCTGCGATTAGCGACGAGAAATGTCGACTTACAAATGAACGCTGACATCTACAATGAAGCAATAGTCCTTATTGAAGACTTATGTTTACTTATGAGTGGAAAACTATTGATTGAAATTCATATGCCGGCACCAAGTCGTCAAACAAGGGATTTAGTGAGTCGCGAATTGGAACGCGAGCATGCTTACGATATAACTCACTTGCAACAACAAGTACAAACAAATGTTCCACTGTTGAATGAACAGCAAAGCAGTGCATACAATCAGCTAATAAATGCTGTAGATAGTGGAAACGGTGGCATAGTTTTCCTCGATGCGCCCGGCGGAACTGGCAAAACGTTCCTATTGTTCCTATTACCGGGATTGCTGCAACACTGTTAGAAGGTGGAAGAACGGCACATTTAGCATTAAAGCTTCCATTAAACTTGCAAATACACGAAATTCCTGTTTGCAATATTTCAAAGCAATCAGCAATGGCACAAGTTTTAAAAAAATGTAAGTTAATCATATGGTATGAATGCACAATGGCCCACGCATGTCTGAAGTCATCGCATTTGTGGAGGTTTGTTAAAACCATTTCATTGACCATAAATATGCGAGTTTTGCTGCAAAACGATAGAACTGCGGAGGTTTTTTCAAAAGAGCTGCTGCGAACCGGAAATGGACAAGTTCCGAGAGATCCTTGCAGTGGATTAATATCGATTCCAACCACGATTTGCCAATTCACATCTAATATGAAGTAATCAGTAGTGTATATCCAAATATTGCTCAAAATTGTGGTAGCTACGATTGGTTAAGCACGCGCGCAATTTTAGCAGCAAAAAATATGAATGTCAACGACTTGAATTGGACGATTCAAAATCAAATTCCGGGAGATCTGCGGTCATATAAATCAATCGATCGCGTTAAAAATGAAGACGAGGTAGTAAATTACCCAGTGGAGTTCTTAAACTCTTTGATGCCGCCTCATAATTTGCGTCTCTAAGATGGGTCTGTAGTTATTATGCTACGGAATCTTCTTGCTCTGATTATGACCAAGCTAATGGACAATTTAATAGTGGAAAGCATTTTGAAAGGCCCGTTCAAAGGAGAGGAATGCTTACTTCCCCGAATTCCATTAACTTCAACAGATTTGCCATTCCAATTCAGACGTTTGCAGTTCCCAGTGAAACTTGCATTTGCGATGACAATAAACAAGTCACAAGGGCAGTCCCTGGAAGTATGCGGCATAAATTTAGAAATGTCTTGCTTTTCACATGGCCAGCTCTATGTGGCGTGTTCCCGTGTTGGAAAACCTTCCTCACTGTTTATTTACGCCGCGGAACAGAAAACCAAAACTATCGTGTGCCGTGCAGCCCTAAACTAAATATGTACTAAAATTATATATTTTCGATACTCGATTAAAACTAATAAAATTGAATGAGAATAATACAAACTTAATTTTGTTAAATTGTCAACAAATCCTGGACGCGATGTGTCAGCATTATTGAAAAGAGTAACATTTTTCAAGCAATTAATTTCAAAAAGCATTAATGTACCCTCGAAAAAAATGTTTATCAGGCAGGTTCTGGCAATTCACTTCCGAGTAAAATTTGTAAAAATTTTTTCAAATTAGGTACAGAAGGCATTTTCCACAAAATTTCACTCGAAAAAAAATTGCAGAACCTGCCTGTGTATCATGTTTTTTTATTTGAATTTGTTATCAAAAACAGTTCAAAAAACTCAGCAATAATTTTTTCTTCACTATTTTTCAATATTGGGAATTTGTCAAGGACCAAAAATGCGGTATTTAAAGTATACACAATGAAATTAGGAAAAAGCGTTCATATTCTATTAAAACCAATACCGGTGTAATTTTTTAAATGAAAAAAAATATATTTTGGGCAGAACGAAGTTTGCCGGGGCAGCTAGTTATAATATAAAATAATCACGCATATGTGACAAGATTTCATATAATACAAAATAAAAATAAGCATGCATATGGGCTCAGAGAATGCTTTTTTACATTCTCTGTGTGACTTTGTAGACTTTTCTACAAAGCATTTCTCTTTATTTATTCTTGCATGAATTTGCTGTTTTACATAAATTTCTGCCAGAAACGTGCTCAATTCTGCTAAATAGCAGCGAGAATGGTGAATTCCCTATTATAAATTTATCAGCTCTGTTAGCCGCCAAATCGAACTCTGTATGATGTACGATTTGCACCTTCTCTATGTTTTATGTTCTCTGGCTCAACATCTTTGTAAAACACTCGACGACTGGTATTTAAGTGCGCTCTGCCCAATCCACAAAAAGGTAGTCCCAACAATCTGCGCCAAGTACAGTTTGATAAGCCTCTTCAACATAGCTCATAAGGTTCTATCGAGCCCACCGTTAGCAAACTGATTGGACTTTATCAGGGTGACTTTGTGTCTGGAAAACCAACAACTTCCCTACCTGCCAAATCTTGAATCGACACAAATCTTCGTCGATTTCAAAACTGCTTTTGACAGAACTCAAATATCGGAGTTTGGTATCCCCGAAAAACTAGTATGGCTGAGTGACGTTGAGCAATACCAAAAGGTCCGTCAGTATTAGGAAGAAGCTTTCTGAGGTGTGCGATATCAAATGAGATTTAAGACAATGCGACTCACTATCGGGAGACTTCTACAATCTACTCTTGGAGAAAATAATTCGAGCTGCAGGAATAAATAGAGAAGGTACCATATTCTATAGGAGCGTACAGCTGCTGGCGTACGCCGATGGTATTGATATCATTGGTCTCAAAATCAGCGCTGTTAGTTCTGCCAGTTCTGCAGACTGGATAAGGAAGTGAAGCAAATGAGTATGTTAGTGAATGAGAGCAAGACGAAATATCTCCTGTCATCAAACAAACAGTTGTTCCGACTGAGCAGGCGACCAGACTATACAAATCACTCATCATCTTGCTATAAGATGCAGAGATGTGGAAGATGACAACATCTGATGAGTGGGTATTAATAGTTTCCTTGGGAGAGTTCTGCTTAAGATTTATGATTATTTGTGTATTGGAAATGGCGAATATGGAACGATGAGCTAAAGGAGTTCAGCGAATTAAAAGACAGCAGCTGCGTTGGCTAGGTCATGTCGTCCGAATCGACGAAAACACTCTAGCTCTGAAAGTATTCGACGCAGTATCCATTGGGGGAACCAGAAGAAGAGAACGACCTGGCTGCAATTGGTATATTGGCGCCAAATTGTAAAAAAAAAAGAAACGACTAGCTGTTGTTAACTCCGCTATAACCGCGTAAGCGATGTCTACGCCGGTAATAAAGAAGAAGAGGTAACAATTTATTATTTTAAACAAAATAATCGACTAGTTAACTTTAAACAAAAAGTTGCACTTTCAACAAAATATTTGAATTTCATCGAAGTGAAAGGTTTTGGTGCGGCAACATCGAAGTTGGGTACGTTAGATTCTGGATATGTTGCTGCCGTCTTCAAATTTTCAAGAAGCTGCCCATTTAGAGAATAGAAAATTTCGTGTTATTGTTTCTCTTTCTAAAAATTGGATATATACCAAAAGTAAACTTGTACGATTGGAACGAGAATATACTTCTGGATTTAATTAGGTAAAAATTTTAACACTCTACACTAATTGTGAAATCTTAAATTGTAAAAATGTGCTTACCTTATATTCGTAAGTTTGTGTACTTTGTGTGTAACCATATTCGTCTTTCTTTTTATCGACTGTCAGAAATTTAGAAGTGTTTTCCTGGAGCTGAGAAGTTGTTGGTGTAGGTTTTGGATTGGGTGTACTAGTAATTTTATGTGTTTCCTGTTGTGTGGGAGACTCTAGTTGTTCTTGCTGCTGTAAATGTTGCTGGCGAAGCTGATTCTCAGCGGCTAACTCTTTAGCAATTAATTGTTGTTGTCGTATTTGTTCGACAAGCTCTTGTTGTCTTTGAAGTAATTCCCTTTGTTGTTGCTTAAGTAATTCACAGTTTTCCTGTTCTATACTTAAATCGATGCCCGAAATGATATCCTTAACAGTATTTTCCTGTTTTAGGTAATAACTTTTATATTAAAAATCACTAAACAAATATTTAATTTTGATAAAGTTTTCTATATGGCTATCATTCTATTTTGTTCACAGGTAAGCAATGTATGAAACTTAAATTTAAAATATTCCGAACACCTATTATAAAATTTGCACAGATATTCGCTAATTCCTGCAGAAGATCCTACTTGAAATCTTGAAAATGACCTTGGACCTATGGACATTTCCTCCAAATTTGTCATTTATATTTTTTCTATAGCTCCTGTCATTTTCGAGATATATACAAAAAATTCAGAATTCTTGGAAAAATTTGAAAAATATAAATAAATAAAACTTCCAAATGTACATACGTACATGTATATAAATTATTTTTAGGCACTAGTGCGCTTTATTCAGTGGCTCGATCAGAACTAAACTCTAAAACATTCTTACTCTCAAGTCTAAACCTAAGCCGTCCTCTCTGCCGCTACTATGTTTTGTCAGATGCAGTATTAGCGAATCCCACGATTACGCCGACTTGTAGTGTAAGTCGTCGGTCGTTTGCGCTATATTTGTGCTGCGCCAGCGGATCCCACGGCTACGGTAGCTTGTGAGTATCGTTTGTTGCTGCTTGTCGTTGGATCATAACTCGGACAGTTGGTGGTGTTAATGTTCAGCATTGTCTGAAACGGATGTTAGGCAAACAATGCTGACTTGGTATTTTGGTGGTTTGTGTTTCAAGTTAACTCCTCCCTTCCTAAGTGGGAATCGTCCACGATTCTCTCGGTGACCTCTCTTACTAAGACATTCATTGCCTTTTTCGCGGTGTGTTTTTTATATTTGCTTAGAGTAAGTCGCAAGATTACTAGGATAAAGATAGATGCTATCGTTACTATAAAAAGCAATGTTGTCGAGTTGACTTCTCCTCGAAGAGCACCAATAGGGTCGATATTTTCCGCATTCATTTCATGAAGATAGTTCAAACTCAATGTCCCTATATGACCTAAAAGATTGACTCTTTGAGCCGTTGGAGTGCCAGGAGTACGAGTAGGAGTATGATTTCGATCGTGATACTCGGTCCCATTTACCTTTACTGACTGATCGAAAGTCAAAAGGTAAGTACCGCTGACGGTTCTGCTATCTCCTTTTTCAACCTCTATCGTTGCTGTGGCATTGTTGATAATGACAATGCCATCATCGATTTCTATGATGCCCTTATCATGATTGGTAGTAGTTGAACAATTTGTTACAGCACCTGTGAAAGTTGCAAAAGTTGATTTTTCACATTTAACAGCATACGCTTCATTTCCGCACTCAGCGACGGTATTAGTATCCCCAAAGGACTCGTCCTTCGTGAGGCACTGCGAATAAACTATATTTTTTACAAACAATTTCAGAGATTGGGTACTTACTACAAAGTACAAATTATTCTTATTTTGTAAAGCCTTAATGCTAGACATTCCTATTATTTCTATTATAGTTATATTAGTCGCTATTATCATTATTATTATATATATTATATTATTATCACTATTATCTAATATTATTGGGTTCACTAGGTTCAACTTAGCTAGGGCTATTGAGATTGTGATTGATTGCAGTTCGAGGATTATTACTCTATTTCTTGCAAGTAGTGTTTCGTAAAGATGACCTTTGTCTATTGCTTCCTTTCTTGATGAGCTTATAATTGTGTTTATTGTTTGTGATTTCCAAGATTTTTTGCTGAATATGTGTATTAATTTTGTACTGTCTGTTATTAGAGTCAATGAGCATATCCTGTCTTAGTTGTAGTYTTTGGAAATCGTCAAAGTCAGGGGTGCCGGCGATGACTTTTAGTGCAGTACCTAAAAAGTTTAAGCTTCGTGCCTGTCGATGGTGAATGTCAACGGTTCGAAGTAAAGTCTCGATATATTTTATGTCTGCTTCCACTATTTTCTTCATGTGTGTCAATGGGAAAAGGTCCATAAATCCTGCCGTCTCGTCGTTCATTATTGCATATAGTGTCAAGTTGGTAAAGTGCGTCAAATAACCGTAATGTTCCCATACTATTTCGTTTCCGTCCAAAATTGGGATGTAGTTATAGTTGGTGTAGTCAGTTAGTTTTTGTGTTAAAGTGGTCGTCAATAAGAATGTCGATATTATCCTGTAATTTAAAATACAAGTCTTAAAGTAATGAAGTGATTAATTAAGGTGGACGAAGGTTGTCTTTGTGGATCCTCCTCCCCTTTATAAGAACGGTTTTGCCTAGGTCCTGTTCGACTACTTCTTCTGTAAATAGTGTTGAGAGTTTATTGCCTAGCCTTCGATTAACTTTCACTAGGACCTTGTCGCCAATGTTATACGTCACATTCTGACGACCCTTATTATGGTATTCGCGATCACTGGCCTGTGTTACGACGATACGATTTCGAACTAGTTCCGTAATGTTAGCTTAGCTGGGATGAAGGATGTCTATTGGTTTTTCGTGGGTTAGTGAATGAATTGTTTTATTATATTCTATGGTGGCAAGCAAAATCAAGTCAACAGTGTCATCGAGATTTCTTTCTAGTTTTAAACACCTAGCTATTTCAGTTAAGGTAATTTGAAAACGCTCCACTTGCCCGTTTGAGGTGCTATGCAGTGGAGGGGCGTTGGCGATTCTCACATAGTTGTAATTTAGCAAAGTTGATTTTATAGCATTTGAGTTAAGTGACTTTTCGTTGTCACAGTATATAGTTTTAACGTTTGGAAAAATGTTTATTAGCTGTAGTATATATGGTTTTACGTTTATGATGGTTCTAGACGCGATTTTCTGCACTATAGCAAATTTAGAAAACTTATCGACGCAAGTTAGAAAATATTTCTGGTCTGTGGAGAAAATATCGACGTGTCATATTTCACCCGGTTTACATGGAACCGGTGTTGCTGCAATAACAGGCTTCTTTGGATGTCTAATGTATTTGGACTTTGAACATATTCGGCAATTTGCTACTACTTCCCTTGTCTTTTTATTCATCTTCGGGAAAAAATAGTCAGCCAAGATCTGCTTTACATTTTCTTGCGCTGCCCTATGAGCTCTGTTGTGTTCAGCAAATATAATTTCCTGTAGATCACTTTCGCTGAAGATGTCCGTAACCATATTTTCGGTATGACGGAATCTTACGTTGGGGTGAAGATCTGCCAGTAGGTGTTGAATTTTTGCCAACACTGGTAGGCTGCAATGTATTGCGTTAACTACGCCATCGTTAATGACTTCTTGCAGCGTTTTTAGTAATGACTCTACGTCGCAAAATGAAATTACATGTCTGCTTTTTGAACCAAATATTATAAAGGTCTGTTTTGAATGGCTTTCGCTTCCTTGAAGAATTATTTGGTTTCTATAGCAATTTACGGGCTTATCCACCGTCTCTATAGTGTAGGTCAGTGACTCCTCCCTGTGCATGGTGGCGCAGTCAGAGCTTGCCTCTATTTCAATTCCTACCATATTCATGTGCTGTCTGGACAACGCGTCAGCAACATGGTTTTCCTTTCCTGGTTTACCGAAAATTTTTGCGTTGAAGCTTTCTATTAGAGACTTCCATCGTTTGATTTTTGCGTTCGGGTTTTTATCAGAAACTGCAAACGTCAGAGGATGGTGGTCAGTGTAGATATTAAACTGGTTAACACCATACAGGTAGTTCCTCAAAGTGTTAAGAGCCCATACGATCGCCAAGAGTTCTCTTTCATTTGCTGCCAAATGCTCTTCTCTATCTCTAAGTGTTCTTGAGATCATGGTAATGGGTTTTTTTCTTGTGAAAGGACGGCCCCCAAACCCCTTGAGGATGCATCGGTTTAGTTTAGTGAAGTCTGGATATGCTAACGTGACATCTTCTGATGCCAGAAATTCTCTAAGTTTATTAAATGCATCTATACCTTCTGGTGCTAGTTGAATTTTAATATTTTTGGACTGCGTGGCACTTACTTTCCCATTTTCTCCCTTTAGCATATCAGTCAGAGGTTTTGCAAGGCTGGCAAAATCGATAGTAGCTAGCCAATCCAAGAAAGGAACGTAGTCCTCGAAGAGTGGGTGGCTGCTCATAACATTTGATTCCATTAACTTTATCGGGGCTTGTTTTCACACCTCCCCTTGAGACAACAAATCCTAGGTATTCTACCGCGGTCTTGAAGAATTTCGATTTTTCGGCGGATATTCTCATATTTGCCTCATAGATACTCCGCAACATCTGAATTATATTTTTAATATTATATTACCAATAGGAGTAATT